GTACTTTAAAGCCCCCTAAAAACTAATAAAAAATTCAGATCTGATAACACCTTTGGCAAAATAGCAGGATACAAAACCAACATACTAAAATTGGTAGCATTTTTACATGCCAATAATGAACACGCTAAGAAAGAAATGAGGAAAAAACTCCCACTCAAATAGCCTCAAAAACTTAAATACCTAGGAATAAACCTAAGGAGATGAAAGACTTCTACAATGAAAATGATAAAACCTTGAAGAAAGATATTGAAGAAGACACTAGAAGAAGGAAAGACCTCTTATGTTCATGAACTACCAGAATTAATATTGTAAAAATGGTGGTACTACCAAGAGTAATCTACAGATTCAATGCAATCCCCATTAAAATTCCAATGCCATTTCTCACAGAAATTGAAAAATTAATCCTAAAATTCATATGGAAGCATAAAAGAGCCAAATCCTGAGCAAAAACAGGAATGATAGAGGAATCACAATTCCTAACTTTAAATTATACTACAGAACCCCAGTAACAAAAGTCACGTAGTACTGGCACAAAAGCAGGCACATAGACCAATGGATTAGAATAGTAGATCCAGAAATAAGCCCACACAGTTACAGTCATCTGATGTTTGACAAATGCACCAAAAATATATGTTGGAGAAAAGACAGTTTCTTTAACAAGTGGTGTTTGGACAACTGGATATCCACATTTAGAAAACTGAATCCACACCACAATCTCTCACCTGTACAAAAGTGAATTCAAAATGAATTAAATATATTAATGTAACACCTGAAACTACTAAGGGAACACTCTTGAAGATACAGGCATATTACCTAAAAGGTCCCAATTGTTCAGGAAATAAGAACAAAATTGACAAATGAGATACCATCAAAGGAAACAATTATCATAATCAAGAGTCAACCTACAGAATGGGAGAAAATCTTTCCCAGCTATTCATCATATAAAGAATATCCAGAATATATAAAGAGCTCCAAAAATTAACAACAAAAGAACCAACAATCCTATTAATAAATGGACAAATGAATTGATTAGACAGTTCTTAAAAGCAGTAGTAGAAATGGCTAATAAATACACAAGAAATGTTCAACCATCCTTTAGCCATAAAGTAGATTCTCTCTCACCCCATCAGAATGACTATCAAGAAAACAAACAACAAAGGCTGGCAAGCATGTATGGAAAAAGGGATCCTTATACATTGTTGGTGGGAATGTAAATTAGTGTAACCACTATATAAATCAGTATACAGGCTCCTCAAAAAACTAAAAATAGAACTACCATATGATCCTGCCACTTCTGGACATATATCCAAAGGCATGCAATTCAGCATATACCTGCACATTCCTGTTTACAACAGCACTATTCACAATAGCCAAACTATGGAATTGGCCCAGATGTCCATAAAGAAAATGTGGTATATATATGCAGAACAGAGTATTATTCAGCCATAAAGCAGAATACAATTATGTCATTTTCAGGAAAATGGATGGAAGATCATCGTGTTAAGCCTTAAGCCAGGCTAAGAAAGACAACTATAACATGTTCTGTCTCATGCTGAATCTAGACCTTAAAAAATGAATGACAGGAGAATAAATTGGGGACTGTTTGGGGTGGAAACCAGTGGGAGGGTGAAGAGTGAAGGAGAGAGTAAAGTGCATGGTAAATATGATCTAAGTACTTTACATGTGTGTATGAAAATAGAATAACAAAACCTGTTAAGATTGTTTAAAAAGTGGGAACAAGAGAATGAGAAAGAGTAACAGAGATGGCGAATTTGATCAAAGTACATTATATACATATATAAATATATAAATAGAGTAAAATTATGATGTTGGCTGTCGTAACTATTATTATGATGTATGAACCTTCTATTCCTAGTTTCTTTGGGACTTTTATCCTGAAAGGGATGTTGAATTTTGTCAAAGTCTTTCCAGCATCTACTCAGATGATCATATGATTTTTCTCCTTGATTCTATTTATGTGCTGTATTATGTTTATTTATTTGTGTATGCTGAACTATCTTTGCATCTCTGAAATGTGCATGCTTTTTTTTTTAAACCCACCAATTAGATCTCTCTGTAGCAGGTGCTTGAGTTGGACACCAACAAAGGTTTTGTCCTCCAAGTTCCTCACTCTGACTCTCCTGCTTCCAACTCTCTGGTTGAGCATGCATGATGACTTAGATGGCTCCCTCTTTCCTGTTGATTAAGGCATGCTGCCCTCTTTTTCTCTGGTATTGTTAGTAATAGAAACAACTTCTGTTATTTCATGTGTTTTGTCATGCTGCCCCTTCTGTGTCTCACTTGACTGAAATCCTGGAGCCTAACTCTCTCTGTCAGGACTCTTCTAGAATTTGTCTTAGCAGGAATAATCTGGACATAAGTCAGACAAGAGCTATGAGAGCATCTGCCAGTAAAAACAAGTTTCCTATGATAGGGAAACCTAGTCATGGTAGTCACACTAGATGTTAGGCCATCTGCCAGGATAAAGAAATATGCCATGAAAGGCACACATAAACATCCACAACCAAATCCTTGGCACCCTGTAAGGGCAGGCCAGAGTTTATAGCCACTCTTAGAAAACAGACCTCAAAACCAAATTAGAGGGGCTATGGATCAATAGTAGTGAATGTTTAGCATGCATGAGGATCTGAGTTCAATCCTTAGCACCACACACAAAAAAAAATTACATGGAAAAAGTACAATGTACACACTATCTTCATTATTTAAAAGCACATTTTTAATGTAAACTAAAGTATGTGTATTTGGATCTATTTCTATCTTTTTTGAAGCCAAGCACCAAATTTGTAAATTACTTTTATAGCAATTTTCATTTCTAAAAACATTCCTAGATATTCCCCAATGTTATTTACTGAAGAAGCTAAAAATTATTTGGTCAAGTAAAACAAAATTACGCTCTCATCAAACGTTTTTATTGGGGACTAGGTGTGGTATACACCTGTAATTCCAGTGCTTGGGAGTTTAAGTCAGGTGGAGTTCAAGTTCCAGGCCAGCCTTGACCACCTATATAGAGCCTTTCTCAAAAAAAAATTTTAACTGTGCTTTTGATGGAACTTGTACTAAATTTTATTGAGTCTTTTGTAAGTGTAAAGATAAATATAAAAAAATTGAATTTCCCTTTTTGCAAACAGTGATTAAGACATTTCTTCCTTCTATTTTCTTGAGAAAACTTTTAATTCTAAATCCTTTCTGTGTCCATTTGAGAATAAATAAATCTTTTTTGTTGTTGTTTTGGTGGTTTTGGATTTGAACTCTTGCTCTTGGTCTTGCTCTTCCTAGGCAGATGCTAGATCATTTGAGCCACACCTCCAGCCTTAAGTAAGTTTAAAAAAAAAATAGTAAATAAGTCTATTGCTAGTTTCGCACCCAGGAAAGTCTTTCTTAATGGCCTCAGGTTCATGCTTTTGCTTCTCAAAGCAAGGAAGTTTGCATGCTACTTCTTTGTCTGGGAGGGAAACTCCCAAGTTCCTGGCTACAAGTTGTAGTCACCTGCTAGTAATGAGGATAAAAGAACCTTTACTTTTCATTTGGCTAAAAACAATAAAGTAACATAGATGGCTACCTCCAAGTAGGATGAATTAATTGTAGCAAATAGTTTTGTTAGATCCTTTCACTTGAGGGACTTTTACCTCCTGTACCTGCCTAGCTATACAAATATGTTATTTTTGTCTTTGCAAACTCATTTGTGACTGAGACAGAGGAATGGAGGAGTGGCTCAAGTGGTATAGCACAAATGTGAAGCCCTGAGTTCAAACTCCAGTCCCACCAAATTAATTAATTAATTAAATTGATTTGTTCTTTTCTTCATCCATGGAGAGGGTCTTTCTGGGTTGTCATGAGGCTTTACTTTTACTTATTTCCCTTATGTGTCATCCAGAAAGGTGGTATGTGTTCATACATGTATGTGTTGATACACACGTGTATTTACATGTATAGATTTTATATGGGTCTACGTGCTTTAAATTTATTGCGATTTATTATTTCTGTAGCTATTTTGAATGAAAACTCATTTTTATAATTGGCATAGGGTAAACTGATTAAGAGACTGAGAAATATATCATTTGTTTTACATGTTCAGTATATCTTCCTTAGTGAAAGCATAGCATTATATTCTGTATTAGTTGGATAAAAGTTGTGTAAAAATCCGAGAATACACATCTAATTTTTTGGGGGGGGGGTTTGGGAAGTGGTATGTGTGGCTCTTGCTGTTTACCTTTCTGACTTGACCTATATTGTACATATTTTCTGATTTAGTACACATCGCTATCATTTGCTCAATTTTGAAAGCTAGCACTCTTGAGATAAAGTCATTCTTTGGGTGTATTACTGGACTTTGTTCCAAGTCGTTTACTAAATTACCCGTCAGTACTCATCGCACCGCCCCAGTTTTCTGTCATCGGAGCCGGGGTGCTGGTAGCCCGATGTACTCAACTATCTTCTCGGTAAGGAAAGGACCAAACTCCAGGACACCCGAGCAGCAATCACCACGCCCTTGGAGGGCGCCACACCTCCTGACGCCGCTCGCGTGGAGTCCTCGCGGAGGCTTCTGGGAAGCGTACCTCCGGCGTGGGCTGGTAGCGTTCCACGCATGTGCAGTGCTCTGCCTGTCTGTCGTGGCGCCTTTGTCCTAGGCCGCAGGGGGCTGAGGACCGCAGGGCCTCCAGGTGTCCGCTGGGCGGCTGAGGGCGGGGCCTGGGCTCGGGGCAGCGCAGAGGCGGAGCCCCCTCAGGTGTGTGAGGCCAATGCGGGCGGACGGACAGACGGACGGGCAGGCGGGAGGGCTCGGTCACACTGCCCAGGCCGAGAGCCTGAGGCCGCCGCCTCCAGCGAGCGCCCTGCCTCGGCCTGAGGTCGCCCTGGCCCTTTCTTCCCAGGACCTGCGTTTTGGCGACCTGAGGGGGCGGCCCGAGGCCAGGCCCCGGGTGACCTGGAGCTCGAGTCACGGCGTCCCGGCGTCTGCAGCTGGGCTAATCTCGGGTTAATGTCAGGGCGGCTCAGATGTCACCTGAGAGACGGTGGGAGTCACCCCGAGGGCTGTTTGCGGTATTGAGTAGGGTACCAGGTGTATAGTATGATAAGGAATCAATAAAGGTGAGCTGCGTTCATTATTACAGCATGCTGTTTTCATTATTGGCTTATTTATTCATCACCATACTTTGACTGGTTTCACGCCACCATTTCTCCACCTCCATTTTAGTAAGTAATGGTAGGACGGGTTCAGAGAGGTCATGTGGGTTGCCCAATATTAGCGGGTGCAATTTAAATTGCGAATGGTTTTACTTTGTAGTTCATGCTCTTTCCTTCATCAAAATCCAGCCGTGGTTTATGTTTAGCGTGCATTTGTGCCTGAGCACCACCAGGACCTAGCTGTGAGGTATACTGAACCTAATCTTACCGTATAGTGTTCTATTTCCAAAAATTCTTGAGACTCCCTGGGAACCCTTGGGTGAAAAGGTTAATTAAGTCCCTACTTGTATTCTCAGCCTGCCTCTTCTCAGTGGACTGTTGAATGGTAGAGTGAAACCACGGTTGGTCTTTCAACTCTATATTTTACTGAGAAGCTGGGCGGCCTACCCAGGCCAAAGGCTAATTTCTACAGAGGGGAAATGGGACAGAGTTGGTTTTTTTTTCCTCCCTCCACCCCTGTACTGAGGTTTGAGCTAGGGGACTAGCACTTGCTAGGCAAGAAAGAACTACATGCCCTCAGCCCTAACATTTTTTGAAAGATGAAAATTGTGATTTACCCATGCTTCCTATTATGAAGGATATTATGATATCATAATGCCTCTGATTGGCTGGTGGTCATTTTGTAAGCACCAGGCTGGTTGGAGGTGGATTCTACTGCTTGTGAAAAGAATCTCAGGATTCTAACATCTAGTTGTCTTTTGCTACATACATGAAGTGCCTGTTTGGGGATGATGGTGCCAAACTTTTCTTTTAGAAACTACAGTTTTGTCAATATCAGCACATCTAGGGACCATGTCAGACAGTTCATCACAGACTGGACAGACCCAGCCTAAGTTTTAAGGGGACAGAACTCATTTCAGGGTCTGGATTTGTGGTACTGGGTGAAGACTTGGTGGTGCATGAAGGATTGTTCAAGGCTATATAATTCCTCCTAATTTTAAAGGTAAAACATTGAAACTAAGTCACCACACTAACAAGCAAAGCCAATTGGTAGAACAAAAGTCTCTAGATTCACTATAAGTGAAAACAAGGTACTTGGAGAAGTGTTATTTGAGAAATGTGCTTAAGAGAGAAGAAATCTTTCACTTTTCAAAACTTTTGACTTTCCAACTTTGTGGAGCTTATACTATTAACCAGAAAAATTATTGTGACATGTAACTTAAACAACTTTTATGTATCAATAAATGTATCAATTCCACATTGTAATGCCAGACACAGGGTTATGTGTTTGGATATTTTACACACCCTATTTAATTAACCTGCTATTACTCAGTATTCAGGTTTTCATTCGTGTTATTCAGTGAACAGACACAATTTTCAAAACAGTCAATAGAAAAATGTTTAGATTCACTTAAAAATATCTCAAGTTCATCAAGATTATGTCAGAGTCATCAATGGAAGATGGGTACTACTTCATCACTGTCCTTTTATTACTTCTCATGGGTCAAAAGAACATTTCCCTAGAGGTTTATATTTTACTAAAATGTTGTATGGAAATTTCTCACAGGTGATTGCTGTTGCTGCAAGATATGGTCTCTTAGACTTCTCTCTTCCAACTTTTCCTGCTCTGGCTTCACAGTTTCTACCCTTCCCCAAGAGCATCAGAAAATGAACAAGTTCAAGGTGAGTCATTTACTTAACCCTCACTTTGTTTCACCGTGTGTGTGTGTGTGTGTGTGTGTGTGTGTGTGTGTAATGAGTTTTTGAAAGAGAACCCATATATTAAACTAGAAAAGTAGAGACAGTTTAAAATCACCTTCAGGGAAAAATACTGTTTGAATAAAACAGCAGCTTTCAAAGTGTGATCTGTCAAGCCCTAGATCCTCAAGACCCATCTCAGGGAGTCTGTAAGATCAAAACTCATAGTACTACTATGAAAATTGTATTTTGCACTGATGGTTTGAAAGCTATGGTAGATCAAATTGCTGCCTGTTTAGTATGCATTAATTCAATAGTGGTGGCAGGAGGGAGAGGCAGAGCAAAGACTGAGAAAGTTTAGTAGCAGTAACCATAAATCATTTAATATGAGATTTACAGTCATGGGAGGGAATACAGTTCTGCTATATTTTCTTGCTCAAGTTTCATACCAGATGCCCGTCCATAAAGGATTTGTATCATACTAAATGGGACAATAGTCTGCTCTGAACTAAAAGTGATTCTTTAGTGACACAACCTGCTTACCAAGGCCTGACTTTGACTCATATTCAACTTTCAATAATGCATGAAAGTGAAGGAATTGGGGGAAAAAAAGAGACTATGACACTAAAGTAATCATGTATTCTTCCAAGGGATTCACAGTAAAAAAAAAAAAAAAAGCCAAACAATTTACTTAAGGATATCCTTAAGAAAACAGTAAAAAATGATGAATTTTGTTAAATATTGACCTCAAGTGCATATTTTTTTAATATTCTGTGTGACAAAAATGGGAAGTTCATATAAAACCCTTCTGTTGCATCCTGAACTATGATGATTGGTTGTGCAATTGTTGTGCATACACTTCGGTGATTTTTCACAGGTCCCTTTTTTCCTTGAAAGAACAACTGGCAGACAAGGTATGAGTATTTAACAGACTTGGGCCTTTAACACATTTTCTCAAAAGTGAATGAAGTGAGCCCGTCACTTACAGGAAAACAACTGTCAGTATTTTTGCCAATGTTAAAATTTCAGAACTGGAGTGTGGATCAAGTGGTAGAGCACCTGCCTAACAAGCTTGAGGCACTAAATCCAAACCCCAGTATTGAAAAACCAAATCATTAAGGTGAAAATTAGAATTTTGGAAAGTTTGTGCTTTCCAATATGAACTTGATGACTTCCTGTTACTTAAAGACTTTCCTGGTAAGATTGGTGATGATACTAACAAATATGATTTTTAAAATAGAAAATACATCAATATTTTAGTAATATTTCTGAGATACATGCACAAAGGCAACCTCAAGTAATTTGAGAGGGCAGAGCAATACAAAGCAGTGAAAAACAGGTTACAGGTTCAATAGGGAATTCTATTTGGTAATGTTTGAGGAAAACCCTGATTAAATAAGAGAAGGCACTAATTAGAAATTAAAGAGGACTAGTGGAATGGCTCAAGCAGTAAGAGCACCTGCCTTTCAAATGTGAGGCCCTGAGTTCAAACCTCGCAGCCGCCAATAAAAGACAAAAAAATATAACCTTTGATGGGCGCTGGTGACTTATGCCTGTAATCCTAGCTATTCAGGAGGCAGAGATTGGAGGACTGTGGTTCGAAGCCAGCCTGGGAAAATAGTTCGTGAAACCCTATCTTGAAAAACCCATCATAAAAAGGCTCATTGTGTAGCTCAAGGTGTAGGCCTTGAGTTCAAATTCCAGAACTGCAAAAAAAAAAAATGAAAGGGAAGATGACTCTAGGTAGGAGGAACATGAAAAACAATCACTTGGAGGCATGTTGCAGAAATGCTCAAGGTACAAAAAAGTGAGCTAGGGAGAGAACAGTAAGAGGTAAGATAGAGAAGTAGAGGGGCTAGAAGAGGTAGGGCTTTGAAGGCTGTAGAACTTTGAATTTTGATTTTACCTGTTCCTTTAAAAATTTAAATGTCATCCTTTATACAGAAGACTGTACATAATGTATATGTACAATCTTGGGAATATTAGTTAAATAAACAAAATTGTATCCCTTAAAGGGCTTAAGAAATGAAATTTACCTTTTTTTTAATAGACCTTCCTGAGGTTTGAACACAGGGCTTCATGCTTATTAGGCAGGTGATCTACTACTTCAGCCATGCCTGCAGCCCTTTTTGCTCTGGTTATTTTTGATATAGGGTCTCATTTTTTGCTCAAATTGACCTGCACTGTGATCCACCCATTTATGCTTCCCACAGAAGCTGAGATGGCAGGCATGTACCACTATACCAGCTAGTGTTTTTTGCCCAGGCTGGCCTTGAGCCTCAATTCTTCTGATTACTGCCTCACGAGTAGCTAAGATTACAGGTGTGAGAACCAGTGCCCAGCTGAAAATTATTTTTAAATTACCTACTTCCCTTGATCTCATCCCCACCATTACCCAGAGAAAAATGAATACTGAGTTCTGTACCTATTTTATTGCTTCTTTAAATTTATTTTTTTTGACAGCACTGGGCCAACTCAGGGTCTCCTGCTTTTTAGGCAGGCACTCTACCTATTGAAGCAAGCCTCCAGTGTTTAAATTTAATGTTTTAAATAAACAAAACAGCATAATTGGCGATTAATGACATGCCCAGGCCTCTGATAAGCACTTACTATAGTCATCTCATATAATTCTCACAGGGACCTTTTGCAATGTTACCACCACCATATCACAAGCTTTCAATGTGGACTTCGTTATTAATTCAATCACAGCCTTTTGGTTTCTTGGTAGAAAAAAACAGACTCCAGAAGGAAGGAGAAAGAAAGGAGTGAATTTGAACTTAACCTGTTAAACAATCTATTGAAGCAGAATCTTTTTAATCTTTTGTGTGAACTCCTTATCCAAAATTCACTAGGGAGTACACATGATGTTTTCCCAACCTTATGATCTGTAATTAATTGCTCAATGGATAGTCTACTGAACTTTTTTGTTTTGTGCTTTTGAGATAGGCTATCACTATATTCCACAGGCTGTGTCTCACTCTTGAGCTCACGTGATTCTTCTGCTTCAGCCTCCTGAATAGCTGGAACCTCCAGCTTATGTTACTGTACTCACTTCTGCATTTTTGGATTTTGAAGTAATTTTGAGTGCAGTTGTCATTTACAACTACTGGAAATTTTTATTTTATGCAGATCCCAGAAATTTCTTTTTCATTTATTCACATGTGCATATGTTGTTTGGGTCATTTCTCCACCCTGTCCCCTTTCCCCCCTCCCCCCCTCCCTTCCCCCATCCCCCCCTCAGTTCCAGGCAGATCCTGTTCTGTCCTTATCACTAATTTTGTTGAAGAAATGACATAAGCATAATAAGGAAGACAAAGCATTTTTGCTAGTTGAGTTAAGGATAGCTATATAGAGAGATTCCTACTATTGCTTTCATGTACCCATGTGTTATGACCCATGTTGACTCAACTCTAACTCAATGATCTTTACACTGGTTACTGATCCCCTGCTCATGATAACCTCTGTCATTTTAAGGTTTCTGTATTAGCTCCTCTGGAGTGGGGACATCAAATGCTTTCATGTTTTGGGTTTTCTACCTATTCCCATTATGTCCCATATGTGCTATCCCCTTGTCATGTGATCCAAGTCCAATCACATTGCTGCATTTGCCCTAGATCTAATGTCCGCATATGAGGGAGAACACATGATTTTTGGTCTTCTGAGCCTGGCTGACCTTGCTCAGAATGATGTTCTCCAGTTTCATCCATTTACCTGCAAATGATAAGATTTCATTCTTCTTCATGGCTGAGTAAAATTCCATTGTGTACAAGTACCACATTTTCTTGATCCATTCGTCAGTAGTGGGGCATCTTGGCTGTTTGCATAACTTGGCTATTGTGAATAGTGCTGCAATAAACATGGGTGTGCAGGTGCCTCTGGAGTAACCTGTGTTGCGTTCCTTTGGGTATTTCCCCAGGAGTAGGCAGGTCCCAGAATTTTTTGTTTGTTCAGAGGAGATCTTTGAAGGTTCTTTCTTGTACTGAACACAGTAGCTTACACTTGTAATCCCAACTAAGGAGTGGGGAACAGAGATCAGAAGGATCATGGTTCAAGCCAGCCCAGGCAAAAAGTTAGTGAGACCCTATCTTGGTCAATAAGGTAGGAGTTGTGGTGTGTGCCTGTGATTCCAGATACCTGGGAGATTGTAAGTAGGAGGATCCCCATCCAGGCCTGCCTGGGAAAAAACTTGAGACCCTACTTGAAAAATAGCTAGAACAAGAAAGGACTGGGGATATGGCTCAAGTGGTAGAGTACCTGCGTAGTAAGCATGAGGCCCTGAGTTCAAACCCCAGTTCTGCCCCCTCCCCATCCTTCTTGTGCCTCTCAACTTCTATTGATATAACTTTGTTGTTTGAAAACATCCTTTATATAGTAGTTACTATTTTAGTTTTGTTTGTTTTAGAGAAGGTTTGCTAGTAGAAACCTCTGCTTTTTTAAGCCATAAATACACTGTATATTTTCACTATGTACAGAATTTTTGCTTGGCAGTTCTTTAAAAACACCAAAGAGTATTCACTGTCTTCTTATTACTGATGCTGTTGAAACTTTGTATGTCAGTTTTTCAGATGTTAAAGAGTTTGTTTTAGGCTACATTGACCATGTCTTTTATTCTAGTGCATTTACGTATGAATTTCTCTTTATCCTAATGAAATTTACTTGTACTTATTTTGAGTTGAGTATTTGTGTTTTGAGTATTATATTTTATCTCCTTTTCTGACTTTCAGGCTCTACTTTTTGTGTTATTTTGTTTATTGATTAACCTGGAGATTATAAATATGTATGATTAATATATCAGTATCTTCAAATAATATACTGTTTATTCGTGAACTATGTAATAACTTTCAATAATAGAATTCTATTTGTACCCTTCCCATGCTTGTGGGTGGTTTTTGTTTACTTTTCATTTCACATGTATTTTTAACCCTAAATACTTGGATTTTTTATTTATTTAAGCAGTTATTCATCTTTTTTAATAAATTATGTGT